CTCATTTTGTTCCTTCTTATCTGTCTTCCTTAGATACCCAGGTTCTCTGGGGGTCCTCGCCTCCCCTGCTGTTCTGAGTGTCCTGTGGTTCCTCAACGGAGAGGACGTGTCCCTTCAGTTAGGAGGAAGTTCTGCTCTCTCCCAAGCTCCAAGGCCTCGGGTCCCCAAGCCAGCCCCTACTCAGCCCCGGCTTCCTCTGCCTCCTGGCTTCCTCTAGGGGATGTCAGCTCCCAGCAGGAGCTCAGACCTCCCTGTACCAGCCCCTTCCACAGCCAGGGTCACAGTGGGTTGTGTTCTGGACTCAGTGCCTGCCTTTTCTGCAGGTCAGGGATGATGGAAACTAGAGCTTGCCCAGCCAGAACCTTTCCGTGTGCACTTCACCTGCATGTATCCCCGCAGTCTTTGCACAGGGGGACGGACTGGGGCTTCATGTTTAACCAGTGCCAAAGCAGGAGTTTGCAAAATAAGTTGTAGAGGCAGAGAGAAGATGTGTATGTGTATGTAGATACCATAACACTCACTAGTGGACATGTGTGCGCGCACGTGTGTCATGATTTTTGGAGCAGTTTAAAGCCTTCCATGGTGTTCCTTCCCTCACCACCTCTGCTCATTTCTATTCATCCTCAAAATCTCAAAACACAATTTCTGGGCTGGGGATATAGCTCAGTTGGTAGAGAACTTGCCTTGCATGCACAAGGCCCTGGGTTCGATCCCCAGCACCACAAACAAAACACACACACACACACACACACACACACACACCCGCCCCCGCCCCACACACAATTTCCCTAGGGAGCCCTCCTTTGTCTCTTCCAGGCAAAGACTTCAATAAAGCTTGCTCTGGTCTGTGCCTCAGCAACTATGAGGCACCAACGTTCAGTCCCACACTCTGGGTTGAAATGCTCCATGCCACACATATGGGCAGCTCTTCTTTAGACACCTGTGCCACCTGCGTGGCCAGCCCCACCAGGAGCCGGGAGGAAGGATCTGTGGAAGGGCATCCGTCCTAGTGAGAGACCTCCCAGGCAGGCCCTGGGGAAGATAAGTAAGTCACAGGGAGCCTCCCACAAAGGTGGAGGATGGTGATTCCAGAGGCTGAGGGTAGGGGACACCCCCTGGGAGGTCAGCCCCCTGCACCAGGCAGCAAGCCTTCCCTGTGAGAACAGAAACACTCAAGGAGCTCAAAGGCGAGAGGGAAGGCTACGGATGCCATGATGACTGAGGGATGTGAGGAAATCAGGACTGCCAGAAACCTGAGCAGAGAGAAATAAAATCTGCATGGGCGGCAGTAAAACCCCAAAGCGACATGGAGGGGAGTTGACAGAGTGGTGTGGAAAAGACTTCACAGGCCACTTAATTATGCAGAAAGACCCCAGAGATGAAAAGAGATGGGGAGAAGGCGGCAGAAGCCAGAACAGGTAGGAGCTGAACTGGAAGCTCGGCTGCCCCAGGTACAAACAGCTCTGCCCCAAGGGACCCTGGTGCAACGGAGCTCTCCCCACATCCACCCCAAAGGATTTCACCAAATGAGATTCTCCTCTTAAACACATCACCAAGGAACCTGGGAGCTCCCAGAACTGCAAAATTAAGAATCCAGGCAGAAAGGTCCCAAGTTACCCACCAGAGAGTCCCCAAGGCCAGCTGCCCACAGATTTCTCCTCTGCAACCTCGAATTCCAAACGGAGCAGAAGTGCTGGAGTTTAAGAACAGTTAGGATCCAAGACCCCTAACCTTCGGCTTGCTGTGTTGGTTTGTTGGTTTTTAGTGTGTGAACTCCTGTCACTAATCAACCAGAACACCGTCACCTGTGATTCAGGACAGTGGCTCTCAAGGCACAAGAGAGGGAGTTTGGTTTTGAGGTGCAGCCCTCAGCTGCTCCCCATCTCATTCCACACCCTGAGGGCCGCTCCCTCCTCTGCAGCTCATAGGAGCACATTGGGAAGTTCAGAGTGACAGCCTGGTGGCCTGCCTCTGCTATTTCCGTGATGGGTAAACTCTGCAGACTGTACCTTGGAACTAGAGAGAACAAATGTGGATTTATTCTTTTCTTCAAAACCACAGTCCCCTTAAACAACCCAATGTCCTTCATTTTTTTTTTTTTCAGTGCTAAGGGGTATAAAGATTTGTGTCTTGTCACTTTAAAAACAATTACAAGAGTCACTGGGTTTCTTTCAAAGGGAGTGACAAACCAACAGGTGACAGAATTATGCACTATTAGGCAATATTTACGATCACTGCTAATCTAGGACTTACCAGTGCTTTTTGTTAAGTCGGTTCAATCAGTGGGGGGATACAAAACAGAAAAAAGAGGAGGAGTACATGCCAAAATATGGATGGTGACTGCAATCAGTGCCTGGGGTCTTCGTTTTCATATACATGACACGTATTATGTATGTATGGACCGACAGCATATTCTTTAATGAACACACCTTATAGTCTCAGGAAAAAAATATGTTTTTTTCTTGTAGGAAATTGTGAGTCACGGCCCTGGGTGTAGTTCTCTGCGGGCTGGGTTTGAGCCTGCGCAGGTGCAGGTGTACTGGAACCTGCTCCTACGTCCTAGGTTTTGTTTTCTGAGAGGAGTTGACCCCAAGGAAAACTGCCACTCTGGAAACAGATGTATTTCTTAGGTTTCCTATGTCATTTTTTCTCAGTGGACAGTTACACTGGAGGCCTGGCCAGGAGGCCTGGCCCGATTTTCCTCTAAATGTCTGGGTGAGCCAAGGAGAGGGAGAAACAGCTGGAAGTGCCTGTCCCTCCCTCCCAAGGAAGCACCTTGTTATTGACTGGGAGCCCTTTACAGCCGCTGGAGGAAGCTTTTGGCTGTAAACTGTCATGCACTGCAGCCTTCATTGAAAAGGCTGAGGATGGGACTGGGCCTGAAAACCCAGGGAGGAAGATCTGAAGCCAGCCCCAGAAGTGGGGAGGCGATGTTTAGGAGGCACCGCAGCAGTGACACCAGTCAGTGACTTCCAACTGCACCTCTTCTGGATCATGCTCTTCATTCCTGGGGACACCTGTAGTGTGGAAATTTTATTGTGCATGTTAGAAATGTAGCATTCTCTTCTGGTTTCATTCTTGTTTGGCTGGACCCCCTGGAAGGACAGTTTTAGATCGACCTGTTAAGCATGGTAGTCTTCCTGAGCTTCCTGGACCCTGGGAAGTCCACCCCAAAGCCACCAGGGGCCAGCTCCCCTCTGGGTGTCAGGGAGTGGCAGAGGTGGTCTGTTTCTGGGCCAGAGTTTAGAGACCTTCAACCACTTTGGACACACCCCCCTTTTGCCTGCACTTCCCTTCCACTTTGACCCTTTATTCTAAGTGCCAGGCTCAGGGGGTCTCAGGTCACAGTCCCCAAAAGAGAGTGACATGCATGGAGGCTTCCTTGGAGCCCCTGCGGTGGTGACCACCGCCTGCGGCAAGGCGTCTCAGAAGGGCCCGGGTGTCGGAGCAAATGAGGCCCTTTTGGTGTCTCTGCAGAAGGAAACTTCCTCTGGGGCAGCCCCCGGGAATTTCCATACACCCTAGACAACAAAGAGGAGCAAGGCGGACACTAACTAGGTGACATCTCTTCAGTTGGAAGTAGGAGAGCGCAGAAAGAAGCCCTAGAAGCATTCCCATCCCACCCAGGGGATCCGGGCACCCTCCTGGGGGCTGGCTGCTGGGAAGCCCTCTTCTAAAGTCCCGGGCGGTCCAGCCCAGTTCCAGGGAAGAACCCCTCCTGCGGCTTCTCCAGCAGTCCCACCCCAGAGCGAGCCCAGCCTCGCTGCGGGAAGTTTGCTCCGCTAGAGAGCCCGCTGTCTGGGGCTCAGGACTGTCAAAACGGGGTGCCCCACCTGACGTCGGCTTCTTCCAGAGGGCGTGGGGGCGGGGTGCGTGCGAAGAGCGGGAGACTGAGGCAGGACACAGGCTCCTGTGAACACGATGGCGCGGCGTTCAGAGCGCAGAGGCAGAGCTTTGGTGGGAGACTGCCTCTTTCCCCTTCCTGGGCTCGGGTTTAGAGGAATGTTATTGTTTAAAGAGACCCCATTGAACTATTTCCTGCTTATTGCCACCTTCCCCTCGCTCTCCCCGCGGAGGTTCTCACCGAGAGGTAATGAACCAGCTGCTCCGACACCGCTTGGCGCTGCGGCGGGTGGGGAGACGCGCCCACCGTCCTCACAAACAATCCCGGGACGACGGCGGCCAGGCGCACCCGGGCCACACTCAGTGCACGCGCAGCGCAGAGCTGGTCACCCAAATCCTGTTTTCATAAGGGGGCCGAGGAAACTTCCTAGAAGGGGTCATTTTATTTCTTTTTCGCTACCTGGGCACACTCCGCGCGCGGTGCTTCCCTCTCCAAACAGGTGAGGGCCGCGGGGAAGTGGGTCGCCGTGGTGGGCGTTAGTGGCACCACCTGAGGTGCCGTGGGCGAGCGACGCATCGGGACCGGTGTGCGGAAACTGCCGGATGGAGGACCAGCACCCCGGGGCCCGGGCAGGCGCGCCCCCGAGCCGGGCTGTGGTCCCAGAGCGGACTCGGAGCCTCTGGCCCGGGCGCAGTGAGCGCAAGGCGGACTCTCGGGCTGGCACGGCCGTGGGATCTGGGGTGCGCCCGGGGAGAGCGCAGGGTGCCGGGCGAGGGAGTTGGGGAGCGTCGCGGGCGGCCGACAGCCCCTGGCCGAGGTGCGGGCCGGCGGGCTCCGGTGCCGGCTCCCTGCCTCCCTCCGCGGCCCGCGGGCCCGCCCCGCCGCTTTGATGGAGGTGCAAACATTTGGGGGAGGGCGGGGGTGTAGGGACTGGGCCGGGCGCGAGGCCGGGGCCCAGGATTTACAGGAAACAGGCGCGCGGGAGCCCATTGTTGGCCCCGGGCCGCCCAGGCCCGCCCGGCCGGGTCTGATATGGCCGCGCCCGGCCAATGGGCAGCCGTCCGGCACTTCAAAGGCTACACAGCCCAATCCGCCGCGCCCCCCTCCGCGGCAGCCTCGGCTCTATTTATGGGGAGGGGACAGAATTTCTCTCCCCAGAGATCTACTCTAGTCTTGCCTTGCGGGAGTTCAAGTGGAATCTCTTCTTCCCCTAGCCCCAGTCCCCCGCCCCCGCGCCCTCCCCCCACGTCCCGATCCTGATCCTGATCCTGGCGCTTCTTCCGCGGCTGTGTTTCGACCCGGGCGCCCTGGCGGGTCTTGGCCCGTGCGACCACTTTCTCAGAACAGCGGCCGAGAGGCGTGAAGGTGGCTCTAGGGTAGCGATTCGGAGCTCCGGGGAGGTGGGGTGGGGCGGGAGGGAGGATGAGCGCCCCGGGCACTGAGAGCGCCGGGAAGAGCCTGCAGTGCCGAGTGGACCACCTGCTGAGCGCGGTGGAGAGCGAGCTGCAGGCCGGCAGCGAGAAAGGCGACCCCACCGAGCGCGAGTTGCGCGTGGGCCTGGAGGAGAGCGAGCTGTGGCTGCGCTTCAAAGAGCTCACCAATGAGATGATCGTGACCAAGAACGGCAGGTAGGTGCGCGTCCGGAGCTCGGGCAGCCTGGGGTGTCTCCATAAGGACGACTTCTTACCCTCCCGTTAACAGCCCCTGGTGATTCCTGACCATTATCCCCCTGGGAATGTCTCTGAGGAAGCTTGGAACCCCAGGTCCTCGAGGTGCCTGGATTCTCGAGGTGTTTTGGCCTCTGGCGTTGAAAGCCTTCCCTAAAAGTTCTCTTCCTCGGCTGCCTCCAGGAGGCCAAGGGACAGTCTGTAGGCCGCCTGGGCCCAGGACGCGGGAGGGCTCCGGGACAGGGAGAGCTTGGAAGTTCCTGTGGACGTTCTCCAGGAGGCCCGAGGTAAACAGGTCTCTGGGCTCCAGCCTCCCGCGTAACGGATCCGATCGGGTCCTCCTGCCGCGCCCTGTGTTTTCCAGGAGGATGTTCCCGGTGCTGAAGGTGAACGTGTCCGGCCTGGACCCCAACGCCATGTATTCTTTCCTGCTGGACTTCGTGGCCGCCGACAACCACCGCTGGAAGTACGTGAACGGGGAGTGGGTGCCCGGGGGCAAGCCGGAGCCGCAGGCGCCCAGCTGCGTCTACATCCACCCCGACTCGCCCAACTTCGGCGCCCACTGGATGAAGGCGCCCGTCTCCTTCAGCAAAGTCAAGCTCACCAACAAACTCAACGGAGGGGGCCAGGTAGGCGCGCTGGAGCTGCGAAGGGCCAAGCCGGGCTGGGGCGGGAGGGCACGCCTGCGCTGCACCTTCTGTGCGGGAGACCTTGGAGGGTCGCTGCTGGACCGGAGGTGACCTCTGTCCTGGAGAAGCTACACCTTAGCTCTGTTTATATTAATCTGATAAAGGTCACACCAATTCTGGGGTCCAGGGGGTGGGAGCCCTCATGCTTGAAGGTTTCCTGCAGGCCCGAGCCTGGAGAATGTCGTGTTCTGGCCTCACCTAGAGGTGAGAGCAGTAAGAATGAAGTCTTGACAAACTTGCTCTTCAGTCTGGAATTGATCCTGGAAGACCTGACACCTCAAAAGCTACAACTAGCCCTTTAAAGGCTGCTGAAGCCCTCCCGGAGGCCTAGAGAGCCTTCCTATCAGCCTAACGATTTCCTGATGACGGGGTTACCCTGACGTGTAATCACAATCCTTTTTCCCAAACACATCCCCCAACAGCAGAGGCCCTTTCCCCGGAGCTGGAGGACTTTCTGAAGCTTGGATGCGATTCTCTTCCACAGCAGATGGAAGGATGTTTTGCTGTCTTGAGAGGGATGGGAGTTGCCACTCCTACTGAGTCTGTCTCCCTGGAAAAGAGTTCTGACTGGTTTTGAATATTTCAGATCATGTTGAACTCCCTACATAAGTATGAGCCTCGCATTCACATAGTGAGAGTCGGGGGTCCCCAGCGCATGATCACCAGCCACTGCTTCCCGGAGACCCAGTTCATAGCAGTGACAGCCTATCAGAACGAGGAGGTGAGAGGGCTGACTCCTGCCCTGGGGAGTCTGGGGATGGGAGACCCTGCTTGACGGTGTGTCAGAGGCCACCGCTCAGTACCATTTCAAATTTACCATGACTCAAGTGGAGGCACCAAGGGAAAAGTTTAAAATGAACGTTCATTCAAGCACCTTCCCCCTTTTGTGAACACAACATATTTTCCTTTTTAGCTATCTGTAAGATTGCTAAACATCCGGAAACATCCACGAGATTCTTGAAATGAAAAGATGCTTACAGTGTTTAGGCTGAGCTCTATGAGACCCTCTTAGGTGGCAGAGGGGCATCTCCTGTGTTTGGAAATCTTCCTGAAAGAGTGGGTGGCATCTTCCCCCAGCCTGCAGAGTGAAGCCTGCATTCCAGTACTGGCTGGGTGCCCGCAAATAATTCTAAGTGTACCCCAAAGCATAGAGAATTTGTGATTGGTTGGTTAAGTTGTCAGTGTTGCAATGTTGACCAGAAACTAAAACTAGCAAGTACATTACTATTTCCTTGGCAACCCCAGTTTATGTTTTGAGCCCTTTTGATTTGTACGCATGGGATATTTTGGGGAGTAGGCTAATTTTAGTATGAATTCCACTCAGAAATTGGCATTTAAAACTTTTCATAAATTTATTCTCCTTTGCAATTTCTCAGCTACTTCAGACTCAAATAGAAAAATACATCTGAAAAGAGTTCTCACTGGTTTTGAATATTTCTAGGTGGCACTAGTGTTTCTCAGTTTCTTGGTGCTAAACTAAATCCTCTGGTAATGAACAATCCACTAAGAGATAGACTTTCTTGTTTTTCAGATCACAGCTCTTAAAATTAAATACAATCCATTTGCCAAAGCTTTCCTGGATGCCAAGGAAAGGTGAGAGAATTCTCACTCTACCCCCTGGGCACAGAACTATTTGGAAATGCAAAGTATTTTCTGATATTTCTCCTTCTTGATAATTTGCTGCAATTTTTTTTTTCAACAGAAGTGATCACAAGGACATGATAGAAGATGTGGGGGACGGCCAGCAGCCGGGGTTCTCCCAATGTACGGTTTGTTGCCTCCGCCTCTTCCATGTTTCTGGGCTAGAATTGCTGAAATCTAGAAGCCAGAAATGAAGCCACACATGTTTGTGGGTGTGGGTGGAGAGTGGGATTGCCCTTTGTGCCGCCAGGCTCATGGCCTCTGGTGTGGAAGCTGCCAACTCATCTCCAGCCTGCTCCCTGGGGCGGTGGATGCTCATAGCCAGGGACCACTGATGCCGATCTGGGTCTTTTGTTTTGCTCAGAGGCAGCTTCAGTGCCTAGGATGGGCTATTGGGACCTTGGTAGGAAGTAGACTTGGGGTAAGAAGAGAGTCTAGCTCATCATACTGTCTTTGAGTGGTTCCCATTCCTTTAATCCTAGTGACTCAGGAGGCTGAATCAGAAGGACCACAAGTTTGAGGCCAGCCTGAGCATCTTAGTGACCTCCTGTCTCAAAATGAAATATACTAAGGGCTTGGGACATAGCTCAGTAGTAAAGCACCCCTGGGTTCAATCCCAGTACCAAATAAATAAGTAAATGAGGAAGAGAGATGGGGGGAGGAAGAGAGATCAAGATCCTACTTTTGTAAGTGGTTGCAAACTGAAGGATGGAGCTGTGGGAAGCTTGTGAGCTACCCCCACCGCCCCCCTCCCCCACACACACACCACGGGCTGTTTTGGAGCTATGGTTGGTAAGATGGGCAGTTCTGCTTTAAGTCTCACTCTTTAGGAGTTACAGGGTTTGGAGGCTGGAGCAGGTATTAACAGTGACCTCCATGAAGAGAAAGAAGTGCTCCTTCTAAACTTTCCTGTCCACCCAGGGAGGGCGGGAGATGTTGGGGAATTGACTGTGGGGAGTACAGAGCCAGTGCTTGCTGCTCTTCACAGGTGGCAGGAACAAGCGTCCCGCCGTATTCTACTCGGAATGGACGTTTTCAACCTGTCTTCTAGGCTGAGTTAACGAGGGGCGTCCTGGAGCAGTGCGTTGGGAGCAGAGTGAAGGGGTCCTGAGGCCAGGGCGGCTGCGCATTGCTTAGTTTGGAGATTGGAGCAGAGTAGTTGTCTCCCTGTGGTTTGCTTTTTCTGAATTAAAAAAAAAAAACGCTTAAAAAGAAGAATGAAGAAGTTGGAGTTTTAGAGGACAGAAGAGTTTTGAATAGCAGGGAGAAGTAGGGAGACTGGAGAGATCAAAACGTAGAAAGAGAAAGCAGATGATGGGGCGGCTGGTCCCTGAGAGGAGCAGGGCAGGGCAGCTGCGCCCCAGGCTCCAGACATCCGCTGACATTGCGTCCTCTCAGCTGACAGGAGGCCCCCTGCCGTGGCCGGGGGGGGGGGGCGTCCTCAGGTGTGTTACTACACATCCGCTGTGGTCGCGGCTCAGGTCACTGGGTAGAGTTTCCCAGGTTTCCTCGGTGCCCATAGGTTTGAAACCTTTAGCCTGTAGAGTATGGGGCTGATGTCCTGCAACGCCTTGAGGTGTGGGTGGCCTTGAGGTGTGGGTGGCCTTGAGGTGTAGGCAGCACTGAGTGCTGGCTCAGGATCCTTCACCTCCACAGGACTCTGGGGAAAGGACCCCAGGGCCCCTCCCTGGTTTCTCTTTAATAACAGCCGCTACAAAGGCCAGTCTCTCAGTATTCTTTTCTCACAGCAGGGGGGTGGCTTCTTCCTGGAACCAGCACCCTCTGTCCACCGGCCAGCCCCCACCCTCAGTTTGGAGGCCCCCTCTCTCTCCCTTCTACCCACGGCTGCGAAAGGTACCCGGCCCTGAGGAACCACCGCTCAGCCCCCTACCCCAGCCCGTACGCTCATCGGAACAATTCTCCAAGTAGGTCATAGTCTTTCTACCAGGGGACAGTGGGTGGCTGCAGGCAGAGACCTTCCTTTGGCACTCCAGGTCTTAGGGTCAAAACAGACTTTGCTCTCACATCTGCACTGGGGCCAGCTCCACCTCAGAGATGCCGACCATGGGCTCTTCCTGTCTGCGTGCCTCAGAGTTCTGCTCAGACTGAACACAGCAGGCTCTGCGAGTCGCTCTCTAGCAGGGGACTCAGGCGTGGATAGTTCATGTCTCTCTCTGAAGTGATCATGCTGGATCAGCCTTGCCCAGGACTTCCTGACTAGCCTAGTGAGACTGGGTGTCACCTGAGAACCCATGGTCTCAGGCCCACCCCAGATCTACCCGCTCAGTAGCTGGGTGGGGGACAGCCCTCCGATGGTCTGGTGCTTGCTTTCATGTCCTGAAGGTTGGCACAGCCTGTAAAGACCCCTGGCCTAATTGTCTCAAGCACTCTGTGTGCCCAGACCGACGTTGGTGTGCTCCAAACAGAGGAAAATAGCCAAAGAACACCATAAAGCCATCAAGCCATGGCAGCTGACCTCAAAGGAGAGGAGTGGTCTTCGGCCTTGTTTCCCGGAGGGAGACCCTGAGGCTGGAAGATCCTATTTTTAATTTGCCTGCAGTAATGGTTTTCATAGCCATTCATCGCTTATGAAATAGCCCGTGGGGAAAGGCAGGTTGAAATCACACTTATTCTTACGTGTAAAGTTAAATTATCGGGTTGTGGGTGTGGCTCAGGGGTAGCCGGCTTCCCAGCAGGAGTGAGGCCCTGTTTGATCCCCAGCACTGCAGAGAAGCAGTCAGGACCAGAGGCTAAACTATCCCTAACTGGGTCTAGAAGTCAGTCTCTGCAGAGCAGAAGGATCTCATGATAAAGGAAAAAGCTTGGGTTTATTGGAAAGTATTTTCAAATGTATTTGGCAATAGATGTTCACCTGATGACCAGTGAAGCAGCTGATGGATTGTGCTCTGTGTCCACTGGGTCCACCATTGTTCTCGGTGCTGGGTGGTCCCAGCCGTCAGCAGCACACACCTGTTGCTCTTGGGAGACCCCCTCCTGTAACTGTGCCCCTTGTCCCCCAGCCTACTCCGACAACTCGTCTGCCTGCCTGTCCATGCTGCCGTCCCATGAGAACTGGTCCAGCCTCGGGGTGCCTGCCCACGGCAGCATGCTCCCAGGGAGCCACAGTGCCAGCCCTCCCGCCGGCTCTAGGTATGGATGTCTGGGGAGCCATCGCACCCTCCCGTGACCCCGTCCGACCGTGTACCTGTGGGCAGTTGGGCTTCTCCTTGCAGTTCTGCTGTGAGCCACATGTGTCCAGATGTGTTCCTCGGCTGGCTGCCACGTCCCCGCTCACATTCTGCTCCTAAGGAAACCCAGGGCCCGGTCTTGGCTTTGCCCTGTACTCTCCTCACTTCCCTGAGCCTCAGCTTCTCCCCATGTAGAAAGAGCTCACTAAATCACGGGCCTCCGCGGTCCCTCCCAGGTGGGTGGGATCACTAGGTGTAGACGAGACCTTTTACAACCTTTTCTGACAGGAGCCAGCTATTCAGTTAGGGAACAAGTGTTTCGGCTTTCCTGTGGACACAGGATCACAGTCCTGGACATACATGCAGGCACAGGTCAAGAAAAGTCTTTTTTCTTTTTCAGATTAAGTCAGGTAAAGGCTTCTATTTACCTGAAAATTACGTCGGGGGAGAATAGCTCAAACACAGCAGGCCTGCGGTTCACTGAAAGTCAGGCCTCTGTAGATCACATAGTAGCAAAAAAGTAGCAAAGCTGTCAGTGGACCCTCCTTTTCCAGAGGAAAGAGGCCCAGGGCAGAGGGAGCCTGCAGTCACTGATCCTGATAGCAGGCTCAAGGCATTTGACTGTAGAATATTCGTATATGCCTGAGACCTTCATTCTTTTTGTCAGGGAAATAGTTCTTTAATAGGAATCTAATAGTCTGTTCTTATGCAGATAGCACAGTTTTCAAGGGCTCCCAGGTGGCTGTCCCCAGTCACATGACCTGCAAGCTGTGAGCAGCTGGCCAGGCCGACCCAGGGCTCAGTGTGGAGTGCTGGGTATTTCCAAGCCCCTGCTCAGCTGAGAACAGAGCAGTATGCTACCTGATTAGCTCAGGCTTGCTGCAAGGCCCACTGCCATTAATTGTAGGACTCGGCGGAATTTTAGCATGGTTTTGTAGTGTTCACTGCTATGTGCTTAGATGAAAGGATTTAGTAAGCATTTTCAATATCCTCCTTTTGGGGACGTACTAGGGGTTGAACTTTACCACTGAACCGCACCCCCCACATCCTTTTTAATTTTATTTTGAAACAGCCTTGCTAAGTTGCTCAGGCTGGCCTCCAACTTGTGGTCCTCTGGCCTCAGCCTCCTGAGTTACTGGGATCACAGGTTGTACCACTGGCCTGGCGACACCCTGTTTTATACCTGGAGACAGCTGGAAAAGTAGTTGGAGGCCAAGCTCATGTGCCACAGCTAATGAAAGCCGGGCTGGACTGGCTTCTGGTCCAGCTCCAGGGTCTGTCCCTCATCACCCACGCTGATGAGAAGGGGTAGGGCTCCTGGAGTGTTGACAGAGCGCCTTCCGACCAGCCTTCCAGCTGCATCTGGCCTTGACCTTGAGAACCACAGCTGTGTTGTGCAGCTTCCTCTGGGGACCCTCGGACACTGGCTCCTCCGTGCGTCTGAGGAGTCTGCGTCCTGCTGGAGAGCACCGAGTGGGCAGGGTGCTGGCAGCCTTGGTAGCAGTGCCCTGCCGGGAGCTGGGTGTTGGTCAACACTCTTCCTAACGTTTTGCTTCTTGTTAATAGATACGACAGGAGCTTCTGTATTCCTCAGAATATGGTCATTTAGTAACATGGAGAAAATGACCTGCTTGAAAAGCCGAGTAATGTGATCAGTAATATCCTTAGGAATGGGATCCTGAGCCTGGTCTCCCTCCCTTCCTGCTCTCTGCATCTCCGTCCCTTCCCTGACCCTGACTGCTGTGTTTTTCTGTTTCAGCCAGTACCCCAGCCTGTGGTCTGTGAGCAACGGCACCATCACCCCAGGCTCCCAGACGGCCGGGGTGTCCAATGGCCTGGGGGCCCAGTTCTTTCGCGGCTCCCCCGCAAACTATGCACCCCTCACCCATGCAGTGTCCGCCGCCTCGTCCTCAGGCTCCCCACTGTATGAAGGGGCTGCCACGGTCACAGACGTTCCTGAGAGTCAGTATGATGCCTCGGCCCAAGGCCGCCTCATCACCTCCTGGACACCCGTATCCCCGCCTTCCATGTGAACCCAGCCCTGTCTCCAGGGACAGTGACTTTGCTGTGGTAACTGGCATTGACTGGACCGAACTGCTGGGCATAGTGTGTCAGGCTGGTGGGACCAGGGGAGGAACGAGCCAGACGAGGACCTGCGAGGTACCCACCCTACACCCCTTGCTCCTCATTTGCAAGAGAGATGTGCCCGCTACAGGTGACTCAGTCTGGAGAGGACGTGGGGTGTGGTTCCCCATGATTCATAGTTGGAAATCCTTTGCCGCGTCCCCAAACTATGCATTTGTTTCTCACACAGCAAGTAGGGTGACTTTGGCGCACCAGAATCTGTAAGCTCCACTGTCCTACTTTAGGGAGACACAGCACACTTTCCATTCTCTTCCTTGTTGCTTTTGAGTAGTTAGTTTTGAGCTGTTAAGGTCAGAAATAATTCAGAGTGAGGACAGCAGATTGCAGTTGAGCTGCCAACTGACTGCACCGCCCACTAGAAGGTATGATTTTGATCATACATATGTAGCTAATCTCTTGTATTGTGAAATCAACTCTTTTATATTTTCCTTTTGACAAAAAAAGTAGCCAAAGACAATCGGCAGAAATCATTTTCTGCAAAATAAAGGCAATATACAAGATTTGGTTGTTCCAGTTATTATTTAAACCCCTCCTTTTGGGGTGAGTCTACTCTTATTTATGGCTGGGGGAAAAGACTTTCTCCCAAAGAATCATTTTTATCTATTATGGACCTTGGTGTATTGCAGAAATGGAAGTGAAATTCGGACATATTTAGTGCTGATTGTCACAAAATGCAAGTGGTATTAAGGGATTTTTCAAGAGTTTTAATTACATAGATGATCAGGGACAGTGACAGGAACATACTGATGTACCAAAGATCAGTGTGGAAGGTCCACTGGATGCCAGTGCGTAAAGGGGTTGATAAAAATCATTGTTTAAGCAGTCAAGTGTGGGGCAGCATTGGGACACCTCCCCCCTGCAGCCAGGACAGTTGGGCTGGGCTGGGGCGATTGATTGCTCCATGTACTGGCAGAAGCCTTGGCACTGGCCCTGCCTCCTGCCTAGTATTCCAGATACCAGCTGTGTGCGAGCAAGTGGGAAAAGGCCCCTCCCAGAGCCAACTGCCAACCTGACTGCTCAGTCCCTGGGTTTCTCCGGACTCTGCCTGACATTTCCAGGATGAGAACTGACTTTTTTGCCTTCTTGAGAACAAGCCCAGAATGTGAGTTGCTGGATTTTCAGTGAGACTTGTGCCTGCTTCCCAGGTGGGAGGTACTTTTGTGAAGCGCCACCTGTGACTGCTCCACAAAGCCCCCTGTCAGGGGCTTGTGGACACTGTCAGAGGAATGAGTTTTGAGAAAACCCACTTCCGGTGGGAATCGAAGCCAGCCCAGTAGGCTGGACCATAGGTCCTCTCCAGACAGGTGCTGGGCCTGCTGGACAAGGGCTGGGGACTTAGGGAAGGAGGCCAGGCAGGGACAGGGCCTCTGTGTTCTCAGAGTGGCTGGTGTCTCCTTCCCTGTGATCACCGCCGACTGCTTGGCTGGGGCTCTGGTTTGGCTCTTGGGATTTTCCCATGGCCCAGGTGTCCCTGGAGGGTGCCCTGGGGACATGTGGCTGCCCCACTGCCAGATCCATCACTGTGAGGGACATTTCATGTGTGGACGATGAATGGGGTCTTGACTGCCTGAGCCTCTAAAGGTCCAGAATTCAAATTCAGAGAGTTGATATCTTAAAAGTCCTGTGTCTTTCTGCTGATAAAGTGGTGACTATAGAATGGGAAAAATGAAATTTTCTATAAAAGCCTGGATTTGAATACAGTAATCCCCCTCATCCATGGGGCATACTCCAAGACCTCAGTGAATGCCTGAAACCCCCAAAGATAAATTTAATTGTTATTAAATATATTAAATAATTATTATTAAACACCCAATAATTTTTTTAAAGGACTGGGCTTACATCTGGGCTTAAACTCCATGATATATATAATTTATATATTATATTTATATATATATTATATTTATATGTTTATACATATATTTATATAAACATACCTGCAATGGAGTTTAATTTATAAATCAGCCACAATAAGAGGTTAATGCCTATAATCCCAGCAGCTTGGGAGGCTGAGGTAGGAGGATCTCAAGTTTGAGGCCAGCCTTAGCAACATAGCAAGGCTGTAGGCAACTTAGCAAGACCCTGTCTCAAAATAAAAAAATAAAAAGAGCTGGGGATGTGGCTCAGCGGTAAGGCACCCCTGGGTTCAATCTCCAGTTTAATCTCTCTCTCAGGGGTTAGAATAGCATGACTATTCTTGTGCTTTGGGGCTGTTGTTAGTAAAGCAGGTATTACTGAACACAATCACAGTGGTGCCCACGTGGCTGAGGCTCCAATGGGTGGCACAGAGTGGGTACGGGTAGGACGGGCCGCAGGAAGGTTCATGCCCCAGGTGGAATGGAGCTGGCTGGCACAAGATTTCATAGGCTTCTCAGAATGGTGCACTATTTAAAACCTACAAGTGGATTTTCTTTCTGGAATTTTCCATTTAATATTTTCAAACTGAATTTGCAGAAAGAAATATTGTGGATAAGAAGGAGACTACTATAGTCACTTGCCTTACTTGCTGCAGGACTTTAGGAAAGTTGGTTCTCGACTTCAGAATCTCAATTTCCTTACCTGTAAGTTTGGAGAAAGAAGACACTCATCCACTGGGATGCGGGTGAGAAGTAACAGAGGCAAGGACCTTGGGAAGTAGACGGAAACAGTGGCGTGTGCTGTAGGCCTTGTGGCCAGATCACGAGCCCGTGGAGTGAACTGCAAGCCCAGCTCTTTATGGACTCAGAAGTGGTTGCTGTAAGTGTGAAGCCCAGGCAGGAGCTCAAGCCACCTGTCCCAGTTTGGAATGCAAATCCCCTTCACGCCTGCTGAGTAATCCCCGTGAGTGATTTCTCTACAAAAATTCAGGTGGACTCTCAGTTGTTCACGAATGAAACACACCTACTTTACTTTTTAAAAAGAAACTATATACACAATAGCTAAACTGTGCAACCAACCTAGATGCCCTTTAGTAGATGAATGGATAAAGAAACTGTGGTATATAAACACCATGGAATATTACTCAACATTAAGAGAATAAAGTTATGGTGTTTGCAAGTAAATGGATGGAGTTGGAGAATACCATGCTAAGTGAAACAAGCCAATTCCCCCCAAACAAAGGCCAAGTGTCCTCTCTGATAAGTAGATGCTGATCCGTAACGGGGAGGCGGGAGGCGTGGGAAAAACGGAGGAACTCTGTTGGACAATGGGGAGGGAGGGTGCATGGGGACAGGAGAGATGGTGGCGTGAGATGGACATCATTTCCCCAGGTACATAGGTGTGACGCTACCTCGTGTACAACCAGAGAAATGTAAAGTTGTGTTGCAGTTGTGTACAATGAATCAAAATGCATTCTGCTGTCATGTACACCTAATTAAAATAGATAAATAATTAAAAATCAATGAAATGAAAAGGATACAAAAAGGAACTGCACACTCTGAGTTACACACCTTTGGGCTTACACCTGGGACTGACCAGGCTGGAAGGTGAGAGTGACTTTCCAGTGACTGTCTCAGCAACTAAGGCTCCATGTTCTGGTTACCTCCTTTCTCCTCAGGGAGGAGGTGTAGTGGGAGGCAGGGATCGTGCTTTCTCATAAGACGGTGAATTGTGAAATGTGCATTTAGAAATCAAAATTGAACCGACGCATTCCTGGCCAGGCGTGTGGGTGAGTCAATAGTGGCGTGTATATGCATATGTGTGGACGTTGACATTCATGTACATGGGAGCATAATGGCTGTCACCATTATGGAGACCCGCAGGTCCCACTGTCCACTGCCTGCAAGCTGGAGACCCTGCAAAGCTGGCGGCATGATCTAGTTCAAGGTTGAAGCCTGAGAACCGGTGTGCAACACTGGCGGCAGGAAAGCTGGATGTCTGGGCTTAAGAGAGGGAGAGAGGGCTCAGCCTCTCTCTGTCGTCCTCATCTACCCGGCCTTCCTGAGTTCGCAATGCCCGCCCCGCCGGAGGGGAGGGCCACAGGCCACATGCAGTCTACTGATTAGGGGCAGGTCTCCTGGAGACACCCTCACAGACACCCCAGAAGTACTGCACCAGCTCTCTGAGCACCCTTTGGCTCAGTAAGTTTGGCAAATTAAATTAACCACTATAAATCTAAAATTTCCATTTTCTCCTATAACATTATATTTTTAAAAGACTTATGAATTTCTAAACTGGAAATTATGACGCTTTATAATATAGATGCTGCATTTCCTGTGCAATATACTCAGAAACAGGATGGCTTGCCATCAGAGTCCTTCTCTGGTTCCCAAGCTAGTTCTGAGAAGGAAATCCCTCCCTTCCTTCCTTCCTTCCTTCCTCCCTCCCTCCCTTTCTATTTTTCTCTTCTTTCTTTCTTTTCTTTTTTGGTTCCAGGGACTGAATCTAGGAGCACTTAACCACTGAGCCGCATCCCCAACCCTTTTTAATTTTTTTTATTTTGACACAAGTCTCACTAAGTGGCTCAGGCCCTTAAGTTGCTGAGGCTGGCTCTGAAATCGATCCTCCTGCCTCAGCCTCTCGAGTCACTGGGGTTATGGGTGCCCCAGCTGGAAATCTATTATTTTGTATATTTAAATATGCTTATAATTCCAGTATTTGTCTTTTTATTTAAAAAGAAGAGGCTAAGTGATTATCTCTTCCTTCTGATTTTTTCGAAAACTAATTCTAAATTGGGAATTTAATCATTATAGAACTAAAATATAGCTAGACTGCAAATTGTAATACTCTGTTTGGGATCTCCTTTGGTGTTATTATTCAAATATATCAACATTGGTAGATTACATTTCCATAAACTGTATTCTTTACATGTGATTTGTTTTATCTTTGTAACAAGCTGCAGTAACAGCAGAATCAAGTGAAACTACAGAAGCGACATCTTTTAATTCACTGAAAGATCTGGATTTATGCATTAAACAAAAAGGCTGTAAAGGTTGAATTTCCTATACTTTAATCTGTTTGGTACCAGGGATTGAACCCAGAGGGTTTTACCACTGAGTTACATCTCCAGCCCTTTTAATTTTTCATTTTGAGACAGACTCTTGCTAAGTCGCGTAGGGCCTTGCTAATTACTGAGGCTGGCCTTCAACTTGAGATCCTCCTGTCTCAACCTTTCAAGTTGCTGCAATTACAGGTACCAGGGCACCTGGCTATACTTCCCTTAAAAGTCCCTCTAAATAGGTCATTACCTAAGATGGCAAACAGCCCAATGTGCGTTCTCCACCTGCATTGCTTGTACACCACGGGGACAGGGGCCACTTGTTGTACCACTTAGCTGCGGAGGTTGTGTGGTTTGGGGCCATGTTCCCAAAAGACCACCAGACAGGGGGCCGTCACACAGACAGAGGCACAATGGAGAAGAGCAGAGGG